CAACGGTTACATGCACAAGAGGCCTATTTTGGCCATTTCCTGCTTTTCTTCTCATCTGTTGCATTTAGAACGAGGTTGGCGTCCGCGCATACATAGGGGTTCTGAAAATAGTTTCCTTAACAATAGAGAGTCCTCTTTGTTGAAGATGGCAACCAAGTCCGTTGAGAAAGCAGCTATGAAAAAGGACTGAAAAGATAAGGCTCGGAACAGAGTTTAAGTGGTCTCATTGAGCGCAGACACGCCCTCATGATATAATTCCCTGCAGATAATGTTGACATGAACGTTATTTTTTACATTCTATGAACCCTTGCGATACACGGTCAAAAGCCTTAGCTAGTGAGGGCGCCAAAGGCTGGGTGCAGCTGTTTCAGAAGTCTACTACTTATGGGCCTCCTGTAAGAGGTAGTCCCTTTCTGAAGCGTGGAGAATTTCAGGTTGATGATGTCTTCCGTAATAGACGGGCATTCAGTTGATTGAGAAGCTCTGCCTTTTGCAGTATTTTGCCAGCCAAAGGGAGGCAGACTGGTTTCAGGGTGATTGCGTAGAACTTTCCGCATACTGCAGATGTTTCTTCATTGGTTACTGGGCTGCCTGTGCGCCCAGTCATAAAATGGGCTTTCGGTCGTCTGCGGCGAAAAACGGCCTCCCGGGGGAGGGAAGACACGAGGGTCTGGTACCGAGAAACGATGTTCTCACAAATGGTTTCATATGAGTTTCTCTTGCACGAACCCTTGCACGGATACTTTTTGTACCTCGTCTGCGCTCCCCCTGAAAAACCCACAAAGCGTTGCGAACCTGAAGAAGGCTATTTGCGTTGTTCGAAGCGATTCGATCATGGGAGTCACTCTATAATTTTTTTATTGTTCGAGTTTAAGTCAGTTAGATGATGTTGGCGCTGGGAAACTCAGAGAAATGCTCGCGTTGCATTCAAACCGACACGCTGTTCACGGTAGGTTCACACTAAAAGATGACTGTGAGCGTCAGGTTTGGAACGCCGTGGCCGCTTCGTGAACTCAAAGAGAGAATTATCGATCGATGTAGTACATGAGCAATTAAGAAGCACAATTTATGAGCAAGGTATTTCACCAGTTGACGACACTATGGCTGAAGACTTGATTGTAAGCCTTCGTAGTCAGTGAAGCGAACAACTCAGTTGCCGATGAATGGCACTACGCACGTCCATGAGCGAGGGACGTGACAACTTTGCCATGTTAGAAGACTGGCTTTTCCTTTAAATATTTCCTTCTATTTAATGCAACACACGCCACTTTGGAGGTCTAAATTTCGGATACTGAGGATAAAGAAGACACGGACAAAAATAGGGACTCTGAGAATTTCGCACACAAGTTTAAAGCTTCACCGGGACATCCCATCCGGGAGCTTCACAGAGAGCGACTTGAGGAAAATAGGAGCTATTACTGACAAGGTTTGGTGACTGAGTAGAGCATACAAGTGTAGCCCACGTCGAGGTTTCAGGGGGTTTGCTTTTGTTTGTATCTGTATCTTGCTAAGCTTTTATCATTAAATTTGTACAAGATCTTGTGATCACAATTCTGTGTTTTCGCCCATTCAGCAAGCACGCTATATTGATGTCAGCATTAGCGAGTTTCAGAAACATGCCTTTGAAAATTTTCAGCTCTCGTGATGTTTCTTGATATTTCTTTTACCATTTTATGGAGATGTAAACTGAAGTCACCGCAAAATGGAAACTTAAAAAAGCGTATAATCCATTTATCTCGAAACATAACACACATGACTTATACGACCTTTATTTTCGTAAAGGTGTTTTGAATACGAACGAACACAGTCAATGTGAGGGGCAAAAACAGCATTAATATAAATGAACCATAGGGTTTTAACTAATATAAGGGTCAATTATTGTGCATTGAGATGAATCGCTTGAAAAGAGAGACTTCGCTTGAAGATGTGATCAGAAGTAAACAAAGGCATAATAGTGCGTCACGTTCAGTCTTTTTAATATCCAAGGAGTCACTGTGAATAGTGTTTCCATATTGTTTAGCTGGCACAAAAACTTCGGACGAGTTATAAAGCGGCATAGTTATCTTCCATGAAGAAAAGTTCGTCTTGGGTGAGACAAACAGAACTGGAGCGAATTTTTAACTCGCATCGGTATCAGGTAAAAAATATGTTATCGATCGTTTCATCTATTTACATTGTTTGAAGTGCGTGCTGGTGAACGCAACATGCGAGCGAGAAATCTTTAAACTTTTTTAGGTCTCAAAATGCAAAGGATTTTATTCCTTTAAGTTAGAGAAAAATACCATGAGGAAAATCTTAAAACTGAATATTTTTCTTCTTGTGGAAAAAATAGTGCGTTTTCTTGTAGACTGTGGACCGCAAATTAGGATCGCACTTTTCACAAACATGCGAATTCTGAAGTTCAGAAGCCAACCGACGATTGCGTTTTTCGCTGCTGTCAATCATCTTAACGGACCTCTTAGGAAACAAAACTTTACTTCACGGGTTCAAAAGGTCATGGTTTGTGATTTGTGGATTTCGATCCGTTTTGTGTGTTTCTCTGTTTCAAGGTTCGTTGCTTGTGATCGTAATTATGATTGACGGCAGCGATAAACACAATTGTGAAGGTGGCTTTTGAACTTTAGAGTTCGCATGTTTGTGAAAAGCGCACTAAAGTCTCCGTGCAGTCAGTGAGGCCCCTGGATCAGGCGGGATCAATGGGCAGTTAACTGTCTGTTTTAGTATACTTCTGGTTTTCATACAATACAATATTTCTGTCTAGCGTAAATCAGCTCATTATACTCGTAGAACGACAACAATTTTTGGAATTTCCAGTTACGTCAAATTAGTTTACGTTATACTGTCACGCTATATTTTGGAGCACAGAGGGATTAGGGGAGGGGTACGTGGAAATAATGCAAATTGTTTCCTGCTTAGAATTAATGGCTAACTTGTCTATTTTTATTCATAATGGCGGAATTTAAAAGTTATTATACAGCCCCCACTTAAAAATGGTACTCTTTTTTTTGGTTACGAAAGTCTTTCAAAAGGGTACAATGTTCTGAATGAGTTTATGTTTCGGTCTCACATGAGGTTCTGTCGCATGCAATGGTTGCCGACAAGGTTTTATGGTAGCCTGAGTGTGTATAGCCGCCCCCTCCTCTCAGAAAAAATAGCCCCTTGGCAGCCCAGTTAAAAATCGCCTTTCGGCGATTCTTGTTACCAATAAAAGGATAATACCTTACTAATCGTGGTTGGGCCGCCGAGGTATAGCCTCAACTTTGAATGCCTCGCCACACGATTTGCAACATGAAGAGGTTGGGGGAGAGATTTTACTTGCTGATTGGTCTCTATTTGCTCGAGGCTCTCAGTGCACGTTCCTTCTTCATGAAAAAGGTCTTTTCAGCGCATCCATATCATGAAGATTGGCAACCTCCAGTTATGAGGAGTAATAGGGAGCTTAAGCAAGGACGTTTTTTAGCAGCGTTCGTCAACTGGAAGTGGACATTTTCAATTACTGGGCCGTTTTTTTTTCTTTTTTGCTCACATTTTTGTGAAAATTGTCTATTTAAGAATAACGACACTTAGCTATACAAATTTGATAGCGTCAAGAAATAATTACAAGAGAAAGACTTCACTTCTGGTTGACGTACGTGCGTCGCTCAAAAACGCTTGCGCGTAAGCTCCCCTGAAAAGACGACTTCCGTACTAACATTAATGATAACGTTAATGATGACACAATGTTCGTTTAGATTCATTCCTTTTTTGTTTTAATGTATGTTTTGTTTAAGTTTTACCAACAGCTCTTGGTTTTATGTATGTTTTGTTTAAGTTTTACCAACAGCTCTTGGTTTTACACTCATTTATTCCTTTCTTTAGTCAACCATGGCAATTCGCTTACTAATTTGTCAGCTGATGTTCGTGTTAGTACTGGCACAGGCGTCATTTTCTATTCTTGATGACACCAGCTCAAGTAGTGGTCCAATTGAAGACACACCTGAAATAGAAGACCAAACGCCAGATAAGAATTCTGGTTTTGATGACATAAATGATAGCAACCTGCCCGAGGAAGAATTTGATGAGATGACAAGCCTGGATGAGATAGACGAAATACAACGCGAGGCTAGGCATCTTGAAAAGAGCTGTAGACAGAAAGCGAAACGAGTTTTTCGAGCAAGGTACACGAAAAAACCGGCCTTGAGATTGTACTACCAGGCGTATCAACATGGAAAAAAGAGTTCCATTAACGACGAAGAGTGGAAAAAAGCATTAGAGAGTGAAAAATGTACCGCATGTGTCTTAAATAGGCTCTGCAGAAATAGTAAGATTCTAAGATCATTGGGGATCCCAAGGAGAATTGGTTGGTAAGTACTTGAATACCTTGTATCATCGGCTTTTTATGAGATCAAATAAATAAATTACACGATACTATAAGAGACGACAGATGTTACTGCATATGTCCAAACAGCAAATAGACTACGACTACTTCATTTTACCCGGGGATAGTAGATCGCAAGAAATACTCTAGCTTTTTCTTTTCGAAGGAATAATATCATTCTGGCCCCAGTGGTTTAAAAGGTATATAACGCTATCCTTCCATTCAAATAAATCACTATCCAACTGGATAAAGCGATTGTGAGTCCTAACACTTATTCGCTGGATAGTGATTAATCCGGTGGACAATGCTATTCAACTACTGTACATTAGAGGCCAGGTCTCCTTATTTATAACAAATGTAGTTTACCCCTAATAACCAGAAAATTACATACTATAAGAACAGAACTTTATTTTTGGGTAACGACGTTAATGTTAACGACGTGCCTGCCACAGAAATAACGTGTGATCCAAATTCTATATTCCGCACCATTGATGGAACTTGTAACAACCTACGAAATCCTTCCTTCGGGGCAATCAATACACCATTCAATAGACTTATACCTGCTGATTATGGAGATGGCATCTCAACTCTTCGCCGAGCGGAATGTGGCAGAGAGCTTCCCAACGCGCGCGACGTAAGTAGGATGGTTCATGGCAGCAACGCAGATCGAGCAAATCCCAATTCCACCCAACTTTCCCACCTAGCCATGAACTTTGGACAGTTTATGGACCACGACACAACACTAGCGGCGATTAAGAACCTTAACTGCGAACCACCCACCAAAGATCCAGAGTGCATTAACATTGAAATTCCCAAAGACGATGCAACATTCAGGAAACGGGGCGTCGCTTTTATCGAAATGGAGAGGGATGCTCCTGTAAAACCGACCTCCTTCTGCAAACTGGCCGTTCGAGAGCATACAAACACCCTAACGGCTTTTATTGACGCTTCCAACGTTTACGGATCAACTGAGAAACTTGCTAAATCTCTTCGCGCCGAAAACGGGCTACTAAAAGACCTCCCACATCCAGATGGTATGGGGCTTGCCAATTTGCTGCCTCCGCAACCAAAAGATTCCGAAGAATTCTGTCCATCACTAGATCCGATCAGACCGTGCTTTCTGTCAGGAGATATACGAAACAATGAGAACCAAGGTAGGAACGCTCGTTGTAACGTTAAAGCTCTATTATAAACCCCTATTCATCCCGACTTGGACTGTGAGGGTAGAGAATTTCGCTGATTCCTACCCTTTGTTTAGTACACCGCTGTTGCTCCTAGCCTGCCGAGGAGCAACAGGGGCGCTCCCTTATATAAGCTGTATTTGTGTGTAGGGCACCAAAGCGTGTGGCATCTGACCTTTTTTATCCTGAAATTAATTGCCGATTTTAACCGCAGGGATGTTTTAAGGTTATGTTTTTTCTCCTCTTAAACCAGGGTCTATCATCTGTCTCTTGTGAACACCGGTTCAGGGTTAAATTAGGGCAGGAGAAAATAAGGTCACTTATTTTTTTCTGAAATAGGATAAGGGTTACATGAAACATGCCGAACGCCCCCTCTCGAACGTTTTTAGGAGTACCCTTTTGGCTAGAAAACAACAACAATAAATAAAGACATAAATAAGGTCGTAAATCGGCGCGTTGGTGCTTCCAGGATTTTTTTGACATATTAATACTCAACAGAAATTCTTGAATTCCTTTTAATCAACTAAGTTCTAAAAAGCATTTGAACCTGATCCAATATCGTCAAACACCACCAAACAAGGCGTTCAAAAAGATCAAACACGTTGGTCCAGTATTGATATCCTTACGTAGCACTGAGGGGAATCGCTTTCATATTTTACAAATGGTTAATGTCAAAACCTCCAAACATTTTCCAAGAATTAGCCACCAAAATCATAAGGATAGTTCAGGAACTCAACGTTTAATTTGATCTCTTTTTCCCGCAGGGCTCAATTCAGTCCACACCATCTTCGTGCGTCACCACAACCGGATAGCAACATTTTTACGCAACAACAACAATAATAACAATTGGGACGACGAGAGAATTTATCAGGAAACCAGAAGAATCATCGGGGCACAACTGCAAGTGATAACGTACAAAGAATTCCTGCCATTGATTTTGAGTCCTGAAGTGGTAATGGGAATGTCAGTATGCTTAGGTCGCCCCATGTCGAGGGAATCCAAGACAGTCTTGGATTCTGGACCCCACGCAGTGGATTGCGGATTCCATGTACTGGATTCCAGTCTTTGTCAGTGGAAGTTGGACTCTGGATTCCGATCGTTAGTGGGATTTCGGATTCCTTGAACTGTATTCTGGATTCCAAAACCCAGGATTCCGGATTCCTGACTAGCCTGCGTAGCAAGCGTTTCCGTTTGGTTTCGGAGCAAAAAAAAGACCGTGGAAAGGGATTTTCGGTTTTGACCGCGCGAGAAATGAAAATGAAAACGAAATGAAACGAGAACCAAAAAATAAAAGAGGGTGAGGGGAAGGGGAAGGAAGGTTTAAGGAAAAGAAGGAAAGTTTCCTTCCTTTCTTCCCCAACCCCTCCTCGCTCTTTTACTTGCGCCATTTTTCGCGCGGTCTTTGACTCTTGTTCCTCATTCTTTGGTCCTAAACCGTACAGAAACGCTTGCTACGCAGGCTAGGATTCCACAAGCAACATATTTTCCCAGATTCTGGATTCCACGAGGAAAATATTTCTCGGATACACGCAAGGGGCGACTTAAATAATGCCGATCCGAGAAAGGCGGAAAGCAATTTCCTTTGTTCTGGTAAATGCGTTGTCCTCACTTAGAAATGCTTTCTTTTTCACACAGAAAATGCATGAACCTACACTAAGGCAGTTTACGAAGTAAAACTTCATTTAGAAAGGCTGTTTCTTTGTGTTAAAAGAGTTCGACTATTATCAGAAGAGTTTACAATTTCACATGTCCCTCATGTGAAATTTCTGTGTTATTAAGATTATGTCTAAGGAACTTCGTCAGAAAACTAAGGATTAATATGCATGCTGATTGAAAGGTTTTTGTAAATTTTGCACTGTTCATTGAAAAGATCAGCCCAAAGTGCTATTGGCCCTGCAGGACAAAGTCTGATTAACCCCGATAGAGGGAGCCAAATTAGAACCAAAGAATGGCTACTCACCGAAATGCCCCCATTTTTAGGGCTAGAACAGATCTTTTTTTATTTACAATGTGCCTGCTAAAAACATGTACTCAGGACTGCAATGTAACTACTAGTTGCAGACTAAGTAGCACGTCTAACTACACAACAGGATCTGTTGCAGCCGTATGAAATTATTCAAGGTCACAAGTCTTACAAGAGTCCCACACTGGCCTGAACCTGATCAGCTTGATATATCTTGCACATAATTATAACGATAACCCTTTCTTATTGCTTCCTTTTTCCTCATATTTTAGATAAAAAGATTTGGTCTCAGGTTACTTGAGGGAGGAAGGTTTTTCACAGGCTACAACAAAAGAGTTAATGCTCAAATGACAAATGGCTTTTCCGTGGCGGCTTACCGATTTGGCCACAGTTTGGTTCAGGAGATTTTTAGACGATTGCGTGAAAATGGTAAAAAAGAGTTTCTGCCTATTCCTGTATTGGACTTTGGTAATCCACAGTACTTGTACGAGAGGTGTCAAGGAGGTATAGATGCTATCTTGCGGGGCTTAACACAAGACCCTTCAGGGAAAATTGATGGGTGAGTGGACGAACTTACAGTCAAAGGGATCATTCGTAAATCCATAGATTTTGTTTTAATGTAATTAGGATATTTTCAATCGGCGAGAAAATTGTCAAGGTGTTGTCCTGAAATGGGGGGAACTTAAGAAAACAAAACAATCCACACTCCTCCCATCCATTCGAAGTTGGGTTTTTGTTGTTTGTGCAAGTAGCTCGAACAGCGGCACAACATAGCGTGGAGAGGGTGGGGGAGAGAAAGCTTTATTTTCCCCTTTTTTAAGTTGCTAAAACGCCAGAGAGGTACTTTAGGGCCAAAGTTTCTCAACTAATTTTGCCATCGATTGTTTTCCAACGGAGTTTTTTGATCTCAAATTTACTTGATTTGCTATTTTAAAAAACGAAAAATACGAAAATAGATTCATTCTTTAGCGTACCAGCAACACATTGGCCAGAATTGAACTGTTGAGTTCAACCCACTACGAGGTCCCCTTTCTAGGGCGTATCTTATGTATAGGCCAGAAGGCACGTGCGTACTTTAAAAATGTCAAAACAAAAACAAAAAAGGCATTTTGATTGATCTGATTGAAAAATATCGGTATCGTCTCCGAAAAACTGTATGGAAATTCCTTACAAGGCGGCAAAAGCCCTTGCTTAGAGCCATAAAAAAACGATGAAATAAGGCAAATGCAGTTTGGCTAATATACATATTTGTCATTTCTTTGAACATTTTGCCCATTACGAGGTGAATGTGAGTCACGTGACTTTGGTTGACCAAGGAAACGTTCATCAGATAAATGCAAGCGTGGATATAAAACTGCTTGCCAAGTTTCAAAAAGCTGAGAGAAATGGTTCTACTTGAAGTCAAAATCAACTAAAATTGTGGTTCAGCCAAGTCTTTTAAGACACATGAATCTTTCATGTCTGAAGTCTATACAGAGGAGTCGTAATCGCATTTCTTTAAATTTTAGCCAATTAATTTTAAATACTGTTTTATTTTTTAAGGAGATTTTCGAGTTCCGTACAAGAAGAGCTCCGTCGTGGCGAAGGCGATCTGTCTGATTTAATCAGCATCAATATTCAAAGAGGGCGTGAACGTGGAGTTCCGGGATACACTAAGTATCGTAACCTGAAGTTATGCGGACTGTCAAAAGTGAAAAGTTTCAACGATTTGAGAAAAAAGGCTGGCTTTAAAGCAGAAGACGTTGCAAATTTGAGGAAGGTTTACAGAAACGTGCTTGATATTGACTTGTTCGTTGGAGGTGAGTGATACAGAGCTTAAAGTTTTTGGTAGACTTGCTACGAGTCGACCTCTCATAAGTCGTTAAAAGTGAACGAAGCGAGGTCGCGCAGCGACCTAGCGAGCGACGAAGTCTTGAGGTCGACTTGTTTCGCCTGAATGGATTTGAATCATGTTCAGTTACTAGAAATACGTGAATCGCAGGACCTCGTATAGCATTTGGGGGAACGTCAAGAAGTAAGAAGAAACGGAAATAAATCGATTAACATACAGGCTGTGTCGGGAGCGGCGTGAAATATCACTCACTGCACTGTCCTATTGGTAATTGTCATGACGCCATCGGTAGAATTTTCGACCGGTAAATTTCGCACCAAACAGAGTGGCAAAATGGCATAACCAACCAGTAAAAAAAGATAAAGTATCGGCTCTAACTCTGTCACTCATGATAGTCGGTCCTAGAAAAAAAAAATCACTAAAAAATTCGACGAAATAAAATGGTATAATTATGCAAACGTTTGCTGAGTGTCGATAGGGTTCGTTCGAATGCCAAGGCCATAGGATTTTGCCCATAGATTTAAAAGTTAAGGTAACCGATAATATATTCATGACGTACTAATGTAGTGTAAAAGCGTAAAATTGCCATGATATAGTAATCCGAAACTCGCTAATAAGAGAAGGACGTATTTCTGTATTGCGTTGTAAGATGGAAGTGGCCAAATTTTGGGTTTCTGGGTTAATTTATCTCTAGTTGAGACGGGTTTAAAACTGTACTAAGAGAGAAAGTTTATAGAAGATTTCTTTGATCTCCATCCTTGGTTCATAATTAGTGTGTCATCAGTCATTTTGAGGCATTTCAGACTATATTCAACCTGCTTTAATAACTTTCCTGTGTTCTAAACTCTAGAGGAGTTATCAATCGTACACCGTGTTTAAATAAATCTGAAGAAGAAAATTCAGCACAGATGGTTTACCTTGCAATAGTATATTTCCGTTAGTGTATAAGAGTGCTCGGGAGCCACTTCAGCCAATGTACTTTTTTCGCTGTTGCCTTAACTTGGTTTTTTTATTTCCTTTCACAATAATATTCTTATTTGCATCCAGTAAGTAGACTTAATTTGCTTCTCAATTCTTAGGAATGCTGGAAGCAAATAAAGGGTCAGAAGCCCTGGGACCAACTTTTCAATGCATTATAGCCGAGCAGTTCCAGCGCCTCAGAATCGGAGATCGTTTTTGGCACGAAAATGCTCCAGACCGAAGCTTGAACACCGATCGAACGGCTTTCAATGTTGCCATGCTACGTGAGATCAGGAAAACAACGTTTGCCAAGATACTCTGCGACAATGCCGACAAAATCTCGAATATTAACCCGACGGTGCTGAAGCCGTCAAGCTCAAAGACACCTTGCAACGCCTTGCCAACGGTTAGTCTTACGCCATGGATAACGCCACATCGGGACTCAGGGTAAGTTTTTTTTTACAACAACTGAACGACTTTTCACGCCCTGATTGGTCGAAAGCTATGATCGATAGGAGTACAGACCATGTAAAATTGTTGTCGATTTGGTAATTTGCCTATAATGATAGTACCATGTTACCATGCATATTTTCCTGATCTAACCGCATTGTGATCGTGTGGTTAATTATGATTAGGACAAGCATTGGAATTAGGATTATGATTATATCATGATTGATCAAGATTTTGATTGTTATGCTGATGATGATGATGTCGTTGATGATGATGACGACGACGACGACGACGACGACGACGACGATGGCTGATGATGATAACAGGGAGCTTAAGCAACGGCAAGGCAACGAGACCGGCAAAAAAGCAATAGGGTTAGATTGGCAAAAAAACAACTTTGCACGTGCATCACGCTTTTTTGTACATTTCTTAGCCGTCATTGCACGACTACAACGTGAAAGTGCCTAACTTCACGTTTCGTCGAAGACGGGAAAACGGACAACAACTTTCTTTTTCTTTTCCTGAACTTTGATTAAGTCCTTTAGAATTCAACTCAAAAAGAAATTGCCAACATTTGTCGAATTAAACGAGATGGAATAAGCGCGAAAAAGTTCGAGGCAGGGCGAATTCACTTTTTAAGTGACGTTCTCGTAGCAGTCGCCGTCGTTGTTGCTTAAGCTCCCTAATGATGATGATGGTGGTGGTGGTGGTGGTAGTGGTGGTTGAGATAGTGATATCAATTTCAGTTAGAAACGATTGCTCGAAAAGGAAAACGAGAGTTCAACCAGTAGAGATACCGCCTCGACTAGACTAAGTTGTACAAATAAAGTTAAAATATTAACATCTTTTCTACCCACAGATCACCTGACGATGATGATGACGGCGGTGATTCATCTGATGATGACCCCAATTTTTGAATATTGCCTCCTCAACCGCAAAAATAACCATATTCCCGAAAAGTTCTATGCTTAAATCGTAGATTAGATAAACGACTATTATAAAATTGTCATGCATAGTGAATATTGTTTTCAAAAAGTGCAATAAAGACTTTTGCTTGGCTATAAATATCTGTGTCTTTTATGTATATAATTTATTTTTGGAATACAGGGACTTCGGAGAGGGATTGGGGCTCGGGGCGCGGGGCGCGGGGAGGAGGCACTTTTTGAGATGATCGGAGGAAAATGTCAGTATTACCTGGTTTCAGTTTTAGATCATCCGAGTTTCATAACATACCACAATTCAGGGAAATAACTTTAGTAAGAAATTTTTCATTTACATGCTGACTTCATTTCAAACTTTACAACACCCTTCTTTCAGATTTCAGATTTTGTGTTTTTTGCACTATCTGACAAGAGGTTAATACAGAAATTACAATGCATTACAAAAGCAAGAAAAAAGAAAAGAAAAAATTAATTACATAAGTCATGAAAGGTGAAATGTGCGCAGTGATCAAAGGAACTTAGGCTTTCGAGTTGGTCACTACCAGGTGCAACTAACCGGGCGTAGACATTTACGCCCCCATAATTATGCTAATTTCATTCTTTGTTCATCTTATTTCCTTTATTTCAGACTTTTAAACCTACAGCTTGCGTCATTTCCTTTTAATGTCTTTTGTTGAAAGAGCGGTTAGATTATCGACAGATTATCGACTGTAAAATTAACATGATATTATGACGTTAACCATCTGTCTTTTGGATCATTGTGTCTCTGAATGACTGCAGGTTTAATTTGTTCGGCTCGGAAATAAAGTTTATTTGTTACTGAATACTGCTCTTTTTGCTACCTTCTATCAACGCAGGGGCGTAGCTAGGGGGGTCCTGGGGTGCCCCTCCTCCCCACCTTTGTGACATTTTAACCGATAAGCAGCGAGACTGAAATAGAGTTTTATTCCATCCTAATTTCTTTTTATTTTGCAACAGTTCCCTTTTTCTCTTTTCCAGTTCAAGGAGCATCAGCTTATTTTCAACTTTAAAGGGCTATTGTGGCAAAAATAACATTAAAAATTTGGTGCACTTACACCTTAATACTCCCCACTAGCACGGTCACCCTTACGGGTTCCCGGTCAAAATGGACGTTAAACCGTTTATGGATTAACATAACATATGACACAACATATTAAGCCTTTATTTTGACACGATGTGATTTAAACTAGCTAAAACTTTTGTGAGATTTTGAGATATATATACATATGAAATATTTAAGGGGATGGCTAAGAACAAAAGGTAAAATCTAAGATCTAAAATATTAATTTTTCTCTGTGAACTTTTTAAGAGAAGTTACAATGTACATGAAGAAGTCGAAACCGGAGGCAATTGGAGCTAAAGAAGTTCATTTGCCAGTCACGACAGCAGTTCTGCAGGCTATCCAGCTTGGTTTGTAGGCCGGGAAATGGCATCACTGATGCTAACTATGAGTGTACAGAGCTTTGAGTAGTATTGCCAGCTACACAAGGGAGATCCGTAGACAAAGACTCGGTAAATGAGATGTCCCAAAAGGGATATCTGCGTAAGACTCGAGGGAAAGATTACAAGTTATTAGACATTCTGTTATCAATGGTGCCAAACAGTTGATGAACCAAAAATAAGTGTTCTCAATTCAAAGCATTCAAAACGAAACCAAGCAAAAACGATATGGTTTCTTAGAGATGTTTCAGAACACTTCCTTGTTGTGTTTGGCTGTCAAAATATAGAACCTTTTAGGACTTTTAACTTTTTTTATAAGCCCCTGAGCAGTAGTCTTTTTGATTGTCGTCTCCGAACACACACACATATAAAACCATCTCAAGGATTAAATCTATGTGGATCTTTTTCCATTTAAACGGTCATCTATCTGGGAAATAAATGAAATGCAAAGTATCAATCAAGCTGGCTAAAAATATCACGAATATTTACGCGCTTTATTTGGAAACAGCATCTATTAGTTTTTTTAAAGATTTTACGCGAAGCGTAAACAGATTCCAGTTGCTTTAGGTGTTAACGTTATTGCGAGAATTGGAAAGGGTGATGAAGACTCTACAACGTCTTCATGGCAGGCTAAAATAATAGGGGTGACTGAGCCAAAATAGAAACTACTAGTTGACCCATTATTTACAAAGGCAATTTTAAATAACCACTCGGCACTTGGGGATCAGATAAATCTAAAGTTGAATGCTACGCTGGACAAAATCATTAACAGAAATATTACACTGTCTCTAGAAATTCGAAAATGAAAATTTAGATCATTTAGTTTATAAAGTGAGAAACTGGCAATAACTTGGTTTTTGGGAGTATCTCATGATAGTTTGTATTGTACTTCCAGTCACCCCTCTTTAATTTAAGACTTAACTGAAATATTTTGCATGAGTGAGGAGCTAGCCCAAATCTCGAGGTATGTCCAAGAGATAATTTCATTTAAATTTTTTTCAAACCTTTGGCGTTTTTTTTGCCAGATTCACCCTTACTAGCAAGTTTTCGCCGTTTTCGTAAAAATCGCCACTCTCCAATATAATTGGAATATTTGCCAAACGCATGGCAAAAATTCCATTTTTGCCAGATTCGCCATTTTTGTCACATTTGCCATTTACGTCAACAAGGCCACTCTTCAAGGAGCACCTCTTGAAATCTCCTTTAAATTTTCGCTAACCCTCTGGGGATCTTTGCCAGATTCGCATTTCGTGTATTTCTGGACATATATAAGTGGAGTCCCTAGTGCTGTCAAAAGCAAGATTAACAACAGTTGTCCTTAATTGCTAGGGTCAGAATTTTATGAAGTCAAATCGTGGACAAAATGTTCTTTTCGTTGTTTCATCGTTACTTTTTGTCACTTCGTTGCTTCGTCCCATCGTCCCTTCGCTCCGCTGTCGTCGTTTCCTTGTTTCGATTTGTCACTCGTCTCGCCGTTTCGTCTCTTCGATGTTTCGTTTCGTCGTTTTGTTTCGCCTATTTGACCGCGCCACAACCAGTTGCAAAAATATTAAGACACTCCGAAGAAAAACGACCTTTCTTACTTCAAATCGCTGCTGGTCACAGGTCTGTGAGACATAATACAGACCTCCCTCCACCCTTCCATTCCAAGATGTTCCTCCAAGTCTTGAGCATGGTCTTCTATTGCTTTCAGCTTTGATAAGGGGTGGAGGGGGATCACAAGCACAAGATCATGGACAGACCATTTAAGCCAAAGTACGGCACAGTGTCCCCACATCTTTTGCAATTGGTTGTAGCCTGGGAACAAAACAAGGTATAATTCACCAATGAATTACATGAAGTGGTTGACTCTCTGGGCAATATGGCGAACTTTTCAAGGGCTGAAGAATTGAAGACCTACCTCCGCCAGAGTGTACAGTTCATTTTCAACCGCGTAAAAAAACAGTGTACGATTAGAAGACGCCATAAGGATTTCAGCTTCATGTCGAAAGGCATAGCTGTCTGACAGATGCACAATTGGACCATGGGATGTAAGAATGGTATGCTTTTGCAAGACGTCTTCTAATGCTCAAGACAAAGCTCTAGCATTTCCTTTGGAATATCTATTAAGGGATGCCCTCAACATCCTGTAAACTGGAACAATCGTTTTTGAAATGATCTTTAATCGACACTAACGGCAACAGTTATTTCATGAGCTCTCGGCAACAAACTTTCCAACTCGGTGGGAACGTAAAATGAGGAAGAAGCTCGTAAAAGAAAACATATCACTTTGTCAAAATGTGTAATGAGATAGCTCATTTCACTCACACTCTCATCGAACTGTTCGTGTACGCGGTTGAAAATACACTATACCCTCTGGCGGAGGTAGGTTTTCAATTTCTTCATCCCTTAACAGGTTCGCCATTTTTCCCAGTAAGTCAACTACTTTATGTAATTCATGGGCGAATAATAACGTATTCTGGTTCATAAGCTAGCGCGGTCAAATAGCCGAAGCGAAACAACGAGACGAATGACAAACAAGGGAACGAAGTCAACGGGGCTACGAGACGACGGAACAAAGTAACGAAGTGACACAAAGAAACGACGAAACAACGAAGCGACAACACGAATCGACGGTTCGAACATTTTGTCCACGATTTGACTTGATACAATTTGCGGCAGGTGTGATGCGTTTTTCTTCAAAGAAATGTTAATCAAAACTTACCATAATTAAAGTACTTACATATGTATTACGTTGTGTTTAACGCTGTGCAAATGTCTGTTGAAAGTCAGGATCGGGCGAGTGGGCCCTTGGTTCACTGGGCCTCCGGGGGCCGCGGCCTGCCTTAAGCAAACCCATAATAGAATAATCTGGTTTTGTGTTACAAGTAGAAAATTGTAATTTAAGCGATTGAATCGTATTTTGCCAGTAACGACACTCCTACTCTCACCAGCACCATAACTAACCCATGGGATGTTTTAGTCATCTGCAAAGCTTGAAGTAGTGTTGTCAGCAACACCTGGGATACTGCGCTGTTAACAAAACTAGGAATTTTCTTTGGGAAGAAGAGTTGGCTGAAAATGTCGCCCTTGAGGGGCATCAACTTAAAGGGAAATACTCTCACTGGCACCATTACTAACCCATTGGATGTTTTAGTCATCTGCAAAGCTTGAATTAGCGTTGTCAGCAGCACAAGGGATACCTGCTGTTAACAAACCTAGGAATTTTCTTTGAGAGGAGGAGTGGGCTGAAAATGTCGCCCTGAAGGGACATAAACAAATCAGGAAGACTGCCCTTGATGCAATACTGTTGGCCTTCCAATTCAAGTGCACTCTTAGGAATAAATGGAAACATCCGTATAATTATGCAAATTGTAGTTAATTAAAGCCACTGGAAAACCCGTGTGCAATCAAACTAAAAGAACTCAAAAGTGTCATGAAATGTTAGGTTGTATTGGGCAGTTTGGATCTTCAAGTGTTTGAACAGGTTTCTGTGCAGTGCTCGCTTGTGACAAATAGTCGTTCACGTACCTGTTATGAAAATGATACATGTCAGTTTAATCCATCTGGATCACATTTACTTAAATGGCTATATCAATAAACTGAAAAAAGTGAAATGATATCTACAACCTTAAGGAGGCTAAAAATATCACGAATATTTGTACACTACATTTAGTAATAGCATATATTACACCTGATTTAAATAAAACGTTGTCGCATTACAAATTCAAATTTCTTTGCAAATCCTTGAGGCCTTATCGTTCATGGTTTATACTTAAAAAACAACGTTTTCTCAATCAGGTATATAAAAGATATGAGTTCTTATGCACTACGCAGCATGCCGCGCAACTCATGAAAGGGAACGATTGACTTTATAACAATAATAATATCACAACAATTAAAACTTATATAGCGCAACTTTCCATGGGATATGATCAAATGCGCTTAATAACGTGTGCGAGGAATGCTTTTATTAGCGAACAATTCTTGCAAGGACCACTGGGACAAACAGCAGCGATGGAAAGCCGAATCTCGGTGTAGATCAGCAATGTAGAAAAACACTTAAAATTGAAGGCAAGGCTGATCGGACAGCTATGGTGGGTAATTTATTTGCCCAATATTTCGACTAGACAAAACCACCTTTCGTCAGGGCTAGTTTCGAAATATTGGGCAAATAAATTACCCATCCACAGTTGTCCGATCAGCCTTGCCTTCAAGTTTAAATGTTTTTATTGCCTAATTTTAAACCGAGCAGGGCTGTGTACGAGTCCGTTAGTTTTGCAAATTTCTAAAGTTTGGTGTTAATCGGGTCAATATTGAACAACACGCAGCTATTTAAAAACCTAAAAATTTACTAAGAGATGTATGGATTGCTGGAAACACCGTTCAGTCGTTTATATGTCTCAGTTTTTTTTTAGTTTTTGAATAGCTGTTTCTTGTTCAATATAGACCTGATCAACACCTGACTTGAGAAGTTTGCAAATCTCGGTTTTCTCTTTGTGGTCTCTTGTTGTCTATTCCATAAGGAACAAATTCGTACCCCCCCCCCCCCCCCCCCCCCCCTCTTCCTCTACAAAAAAAAAAAAACACAGAATAAGCACACATTTTTCTCTTTAGCAATTTAATACCAAAAAACACAATAAATTATATGGCAGACCTCTGTAAAAAAAAAAAAAGGACAAACAACAAGACAACATTCCCCCCCCCCCCCCCCCCTCGGTTTACATTTAGGCAATAGAGTAGAATCTGGAAGATAACTCAGTTATTCACTTAGGCAATTTAGATCATAAAAAATCATTTAAATTAGTGCGGCACTTCGGTATACAAATAAAATGCTAAGTTAGTGCACGAAGAGCTAATAGTATTTCTCTACTGTAAAGAATACCGTAATCGAAAGTGTTATTATAGCTGCCAAAACGACATCTAACATGAAAAGTAAGGTCATTCATTTCACCGCAACAAGAAACACACAAACAACTTGGTTACCGAGTCTCTGAGTCTCGTGTTCGGTAAATTTGTCTCTGCAGTTCAAACTTGAAATTAGTTACCTTTTGTCAAAGTCTTTAACTTTATCTGAATATTTGGTATTGACTGATAGAACTTAATTAAGTTACTCCTTGATCATTTTGGTAATTAACATGAAGCAGGAATTCGGAAAGTTGTGTCCATCCAGAAGCGTAATAGATAGATGAAAACATTCCCAAACCTGTAAATACCTGATAGCGTGGGGGAATCCCATTGATTGTAATTCGGGGAAATAAATTTGAAAATATTATAATCAGTATAGAATTGAAAACATTTTTATCTATGAAAAATCTTTGTAGAAACCATATATACGAAGTGTTCTGAATTAACAACATGGATACCTAGGCCTTTTTCTTGATGATCACGCCAGTTAACTACAACCACCAGAATTCAATTTCTTTTATATATATATTTCTTTATTGTATGTATCTTGCTAAGATTTAAAAAATAGTTGCCCCTATTTGTAAATGAAAATAACAAACTTGAGGGTTGTGGTAGTTTTAGTTATTTGTTGTTGTCTACCACAAATGATGTCATTTTACCTATCCCTCGTCATTATGACAATGACCTATTGTTTTCTCCATACAGCGGTTTCAGAACACTTCTTCATTGCATTGACCATTTGGAAAAGTATTGCATGGTTTGAAATGGGTTTTTTCCCATATAATTAGTCTTTTTGTTAGTTTATCCTCTCATTCATTTACCGTCTTGATGGGAATTGGAGTGAAACACTTGGGCATGTTGTGCATCATTTTTCCTGGTCTTTTGTTTTGTATTGCAGTGGTTACGATATGACGTTATGTAAGTGACAATGGGTTATAGAAATTTTTGAGGAAAATAGAGGCCATTTCCACTTTCTTGTGCAAAACACGCACAAGAAAAATCAACAAATTGTTTATTAAACCAATTTATGACCTCGAGCAAAAAAAAACAATTCATTCTTTTGCTAGTTTAAATTAATCTTAATTTTCTAGTATACTAAGATAGCAGCCCCTAATGAGCTCCTGATCGGCTCGAGTGTCATCCCGATCAAAGAAAACACGATGCGGATTGTTCTATGAAGGGGCTGAGCCAATTTTATTACCCAGTAAATTAAACATCCCCCGCAAATGTAACCCAGACGACTTTTCTCAAATTCACGACGAATGAAAGCGATTTTTCAGAATTCTTTTGTGCTTTCCGCGGATCGTTCATGCTAATGTTGGGTGAGGATTTTTAAGATGTTAGACGTATTTACACAGATACTGAAGAAAATTTCCGCATTTTAATCGAAACCGCTAGCCGGAAAACGGTGGAAAAAAGGATTAAAGAGAGAGAATTTATTCAATCAGGCGTTAAGAATCGAGGTAGAAATTGATTGTTCAATCATCTGAGCCAGAAGCTCATTTTAAAACGCGCAACAATCTCTTCTAATTAACACAAACCAAAGTGAAATATGTATTTCACATTAAAAGATCTTAAAAACCCTAAGTGTTAAGTACGGTGATTTTTTAAAATGATAAAAATAATCCTAAGATAGGTCAATGAGTTAAATAGACTAGTCCTAGTGATAAATAAACTAATCAAAACATTAAAAATAAATATTCCCAAGAATGTGTGTAAATATTGTTTTATGGAAACAGGCAAAATCGTATGCTGTTCATATATAATTCGAGCTCTGTTATGAAGTCTTAAAATTCTGCGCAATTAAACAAAAATTTTTGTGATCACCATTGAAGTTGATATTCTATGGTCAGTTGCAACAAACAAAACATCGATAAATAGGAAACACTCTCGAGGCCTTTCAAACTTAAAAAAAACCTTTAACCTAAAAGGTCAGAGAAAACATGGAATGCTAAAACGATAAATTGTTGTTAATGGTTTTTGCTCTCGGTAACGTAAAACAAAATGACAGGGTCGGCTCTTGGTTCAAGTTCCCTGGGTAGCACACATGCATGTCCAGCTTATTATTCTATCAACCTTTTAAAATCATCATAACGCCTGGATTGTCAACTCGAGAACCAGACAAGTCTGAAATCTCCCCTGCGAAATTATCACTTATAATACTTGGTCCTGCTCGAAATCTAGGATGGTGGCCATGTTGAATTTTGATAAAGATCGTTCAAGTAAGAATAAAAATACGTGGGGTATCAACAAGTTATAATTAACACTTCTCTTTTTGGCACTTCTAAGCTCAAAAAAGTCGTTTTGTGGCTTGATGTTATGTTGCTAATGACGTGATACGTGTGGTAATCAACCAGCTGACCAACCGACCGTCTCGAAATTTTCCTTAAATGTGGATTGAGAATAAATGAATGACAACCGAAGGAAAGATTTTTACGGCTGGAAATTTTTCTTTTACTTTAAGGCTACTTAAACATTTGTTTATCATATCGTGGACTGGCAGAGACTTGTCATTCCTTGGCTTTATTACAATATAATATTTAATTTTGGGCGCGTGCATTATTTATTTATTTAAGTTGCGTGTACATTTAGTTCGTTTAATAACAACTTACTTTTGCTTTGCTTTATTTTCCTCACTTATAAGTGTTGTCTGCGACTGTGCTCACACGGCGGGTGGCTCCTCCTAAAATGTTCTGCAATTGGTATAGGATTTAATGGAGGCGAAACCAATTGTGGAATTGCACGCATTTTAGGCATCCTACTGGTGAACAGTTGAGACACGTAGATATATTTTTTAGCAACTACTATAATTTGCAGTCTGTCTACTTTGAATTACCATGTTACATGCTATGCCTAAACAACGGCGTCATAATGACACCAGAAAGTGAGTTTTTATCACCATTATCATTTTGTGCTGGTTTTCGTCATACACTGACATAAAATTTGTCTATCCACTGACGACTGACGACTCGCTCTCTGGTATGTCAATTAGTGGCATTGTTGAGCCTGGGAATGGCATTCTCTAACTTACCTGATCTTAAAGGCTCAGTCGAAGACATAAAAACAGCCGAACCTGAAATCGGAACGCTGGGTGAGATCGCTGCCTTAGATGAAATTAGCGATGACAACCTGTCTGAAGAAGACGACGATGATTTTGGTGAAACCGACAATGAGAAGTTGGCCGAGGATCCATTGGCAGCAAGATATATTTCACCTCCCAGAAAGCGCCAAATACTAAGTGAGGCTAGGCGTCGCGTCTTGCCAACATTATTGGCAAGAATATATACGTGAGACCAATGAACCGAAAGAGGGAACGACAAACAGCCATGAGAAAGTATTACCAGGCATTTGTACACGGGGGAAAGAGCTTTATTAGTGACGCCGACTGGCTGACAGCAAAAAGGAGTGAAAGATGTAGCACGTGTTTCTTGTATGAACTCTGCAAACGAAGGCGTATTCAATGGTTGTTGAACATCAACGGCAGACTCCCTTTGTAAGTAATTTAGTAATTTTTTGGTTATGAACCACATATAAACCTACCTCAACATGCTAGGAAAATTTCTCAAGCTATCCTTGCCATAGCACTATATCTCCATCGTCAAAGCAAATCTGCTAGAAATAACTTTCCAACAATTTTAGGGGAACAAAAACTTATGGATCAATTCAGGTTTCTGGGAAACTGCCCACCTACCCCTTTCCTAACTCAACGTCAACATTTGTGTCTCACTTGGGGAAAAATGTTGGGTTAGGGGAGGGGTAGGTGGGTAGTTTCCTAGAAACCTGAATTGATCCAAACCTTTTATACCTGTTTTCTGAATTCTCTCGCGGTCTTTATTGTTATCTTATTTGTCTGCTTATCAGGAATGTAAGGAGGAGGATGTGCAGAAGAAAACTCGTCCGAGTAGCGATTAATGTTTACCCCGTAACTACAATCAACATACGATGTGATCCAAATGCACCATTTCGAACCATTGACGGGGCAGCCAATACAACATTCAACCGACTTTTACCTGCTGATTATGGCAACTGCATCTCAACTCTTCGCCGGGCGAGAAATGGTAGAAAGCTTCCGAACGCGCGGGACGTAAGTCGATTTGCCCATGGAAGCAACGCGGACCGAACCAATCCGAACTCTACAATACTGACCCACTTGACTATGATTTTTGCACAGTTTATGGATCACGATTTTACTTTGGGCCAGGGCCAAGGCATTAACTGCGAGCCACCCACCAAAAATCCCGAGTGCGTCAACATAAGAATTCCTAGAGACGATGCAATATTCCGGAATCGGGAAGTTAATTTTATCGAACTGGAGAGGGATGCTCCTAGCAAGTCAGCCTCCTTCTGCAAACTGGCCCCTCGAGAGCATACAAACACTCTAACAGCCTACATTGATGCTTCTAACGTTTATGGATCAACTGAGGAGGTTGCTGATTCGATTCGCGCGCCAGATGGCTTACTAAGAGTTATGGAGCATCCAGATGGTGTAAGGTTTATGGATTTGCTACCTGCACGTACCGAGACGCCGGAGAGTTTTTGTCCATCGATAGATCCAAACAGACCGTGTTTTTTGGCAGGAGAAAGTAGGAATAATGAGAACCAAGGTGAGAACCGTATTGCTTTGATGTTCAATGGTCTTGGTGAAAAGTGCCAAAAATTGACTTTTTTCAACACAGAAGCTTCAATTTAGGGTTATTTTGTAACTTTCAGGTCTTAGTTCAGTCCACACCATATTCGTGCGCCACCACAACCGCATCGCCACGTTTTTCCGTAAAAGGACAAGATGGGGACCCGAAAGGATTTACCAGGAGACCAGAAGAATCGTCGCAGCCCAATTGCAAGTGATTACATACAACGAATTCCTGCCATTAGTTTTGAGTGAGAGAACGGTAGGTTTTTTGCATGAAAAATAATAATAATTACAATAACAATAGTGATGATGATAATGACAATCCACTTGAATTTGAGCCTGCGATCAGTCGAAAACTAGTGACTTGTCAGCGGATAACTTAAGAAAAACACGCAACCTCGAAGGGTCGACACCTTGATACGGTCATGAGGTACTGGTCAGCAGATATCCTGTTTTGACATCTGTCAATTGACCAAATTATGGATGTGCAATATCAGGTTGCAGGCTCCCACGCTAGCTAGAAAGTGTAAGATTTCACATTGGTTCCCCTGTGGTGCGGACGGACAGGTGTTCGGACGGATGGTCAGACGGACGTTTGGTCACGTGACTACCAATATTTCTCGGATAGACAGATGACCAAACTTTCTTAGCTATGGAGCTGCGCTAGCGCGCGCGTGGAGCTCCGCTATAACTTGTAGCTGTGCTAATCAGGTTATAAAACCCTGATCCTGAAAAAAAAAACGTGAGAATTACCCTAATCCCACTCAAGCTGAATCTCTTAAAGCGTTTAAACTGGCAGAAGTAAAGTGCATTTTCAGCAGCATAGTAAATATGAGGAAGTCATGTACTAAACCTATATACGAGTTAAGGAACAGAGTAGAAGCCGTACCATAACAATGGGAATTTTTTTTCACAGGATGTGGTTTCACATTATTTGAATGTCGGTTCATTGGAGGATCCTATGTTTGCCGTGTTCAATATTGTTTTTTTTTTCCTATTTTTGTTTTATTTTCCTCACCACATAAAAAAGGAATGCTCTGACCCGCTCTAAATTTAAAAGTAGAACATGTTGCTCTGATTATAGAAGGAAAGCAATTGTTGTTCTTGTTTTTTGCTGTTGTTTTTTTTTTTTCCGTTTTACACAGATCACAAAGTTTGGTCTCAGGCTACTCACCGGAACGAGGTTTTTCAATGGCTACAACAGAAGAGTTAATGCTCAAATGACCGCTGGGTTTTCCGTGGCTGCCTACCGATTTGGCCACACCTTGATTCAGGAGTGGTTTCGACGATTCAATCAACGTAGTTTCCAACACAGAGAAAAATCAGAATTTCGGCCCATTCCTGTATTGGACTTTGAAAATCCACAGTACTTGTACGAGACATGTCAGGGAGGTGTGGATGCCATTTTGAGGGGATTAATTAAGGATCCCGCGGGAAAGGCTGACGGGTAAGTAAATGAAAACTTACTTAAATGCGGGTTCTTTATCTACACAAGCAAGCTTGAAAAATGGAACTAGATTTGTGGAGGAGTGAAAATGATTGAATTGCAGAGAAGTAGGAAGAAGGAGGGTTAAGTCAAAAATATGTTGTTGTTTTTTTTAACTTGAAAGATTAAGTCTGCCTTCACCCTCAGACTAAGCATAATTCGCACGCTAAGAGAGAGTGACCCGGAACTGGAACATTTGTTTCATTCTGCAGTGGACAATGAAAGCGGCAGAAAATAGAATTTGCATAATTACGTTAAGACACGCCACAGGCGAGTTATTGCTTATTCCCCCTTCGAGAACAAAAATTAATCAATAAACACTTTTCCTAGTTTTTAGTCAACCAACCAAAATCCAAGACATTCATCGATCTGAAAATAACTAAAAAAAAAAAAAACATGTCAAACCGGTTAACCACCTAAATTAAAAATAGCACAGGAGCTTATCTGAATGTTAAACATGAGATAAAGGCAAATGGCTATGACGTCATCGGCGTTAATGTACTCTCCCGCACGTCAAAGAGATTCTCTCGCAAAAATGGATAAATCAGTGCGCCCTGTACTACTATTCCATTTATTTTGATCTGTAATACAGTCAATCGGACACGCCCTAAGTATAACTGAAACCATTTTTGGCGAAGTTTTGATTGCCCTAGACACCACGACGTTACCTCGGTTAAGAACAAACAATAGTGTGCTCTTGCCATTAGTGTAAAAATTGTTTTTTGCTTCAGGCAGTGGTCTTTTCATGCCGAGTTTGGTCCACCTGTAATGGAGGAAAAACTGCATGTAACTGTTTCGAGATTGCACTTTTGTTTTTGTCATAAGATTACTAAATTAAGTAGTCGTAAATTGAAAGCTTGGGAATTTGTTTGACTTTGATGGGTTAATGAGGGTCTTAACAACCTCCTCCCTCCATTTAACTAAGATCTGACACCTGATGGAAATAGGGCAAAGTTTGCGGGTACAGCATCTCCTGCCAAGTTTTAGTAAACCTTTGTTAAATCGTTAGAAAACATGGAGTTCAACAGAAAAAACGTTTGAGGTCGAGGAAATGGTAAATGTTTTTTTTTTTTTTTAATTTATGGATTTTGCTATTTATAACAGGAGATTTTCCAGCTCTGTGCAAGAAAACCTAAGAAGGGGTGAGAGCGATTTGTCTGATCTAATCAGCATCAACATCCAAAGAGGGCGTGAACGTGGAATTCCGGGATACACTAAGTATCGAAACCTTAGGTTATGCGGACTGCGAAAGGTGAGATCGTTCGACGACTTGGTACGAATCGCCGGCTTTGCCCTGAGGGACGTGGCTAATTTGAGAAGAATTTACAGAAATGTTCATGATATTGACTTTTTTGTCGGTGGTGCGTAATATAATATCATACCTTTCACTTTTAAATTGTTAATTTTTCAATTGTTAAGATTTAAATAGCAGTTATTTTCCTAAGTCAAGAATTACAAGTTTGTTGAAGATGATAATTCAGCCTTGAAAATTCCTTAAGACCAGGAAAGCTCTGACATACTGGCAAACTTCAAGAAAAAAATTCTGAGCACTTTTCACTAACGATAAGAGGTTGAAAAAGTGGAACATTCCTGTTCGCGGACGTTTTCACCAGTGGGTCAGTCTTGGATACCTTGCGCTTGAGCTATTGATAATCCGTTTATTTTAGAGATCCATCCTGACCATTGGATTCTGAACATAGGAAAAGACCCTGAGGGACAAGTTTAAAACCATTGTATTCTTTCTTATATACGCACATTGATGATGCAAGCTTTATTTTTGATTGCTCCCCTTCTCAGGAATGCTAGAACCGAGACCTAGTGATGGAGGAGTTCTGGGACCTACTTATGAAGTAAAAGGCTACGGGAATATAGCGAACATAGCAAGCTAGCATTTTTTAGTAACCCTCTCTCGAAGTCAGGAGAATGCCTGCCACCGCTGTTAAGGTTTCTTATCTTCGATAATTTGAAAACGATTGGCTTACACAAATAACCTGCGCCTTTAACATGCTGATGGTCTATTCCCTAAACAAGTTTTGCCCAAATTTTGTGGCCGACTTTGGTTACTGGTTTTAAGCATATGACTTCATGATTGACATCAGTTTAAGTCACTTTTAAGCTTAAATGCGACTTTCTTGCACTTGTTAATTCAGGAAACAGATAAAGTGCCCTTGAACGCTGCATAATCCTTTATTTCAACATATCTTAAAAGTTGAGCCCCCAAAAAATAGTTAATCTGAATTGCAGCAAAATTCACGATGGCGATCACTTTGCAGGACGTCACAAGTACCAAAAAAGGCGATGTCTAATAGGCCTTTTTCAAAAACATCATAATACTCGTTGTTGTCCCTCAAAAAGTTTGCATAAGCATCATTTTCAAAGTCTCTTGGGGCGATTGGAAGAAATCCTCAGTACAGTCATCTCTATCTAATTAAAAGACGGACATCTTTGTGACAGGCATTAAATTATCCGTCTAAGTATGATGTCCGGTAAGAGAGAGTTGACTGAAATGTGAAAAATGAGCATGTGTCCTTCGTTCCAGACCAATAACACTTTGGTTTGTTTCTTACAGACTACCTGAGGATGTTAACGATCACTCCGATAATTTGGCATACGATGATGTATAACGCCGAGCCTTTAATGTCAACCACACTAGCAAAGAAGTAACTTTACAGTATTCTTGATTCGAGTGATTTTAGTTTATTCTCAATGTTTTTCATGCTTAAATAGCACTTTGATTAAACGACCATGCTAAATAGCTATTCTTAAAACGGCCAACTGCTATGAAAATTGCCAGGCATCATGTTTTGTGTAAAAAGGAATTCAATAAATATTTTGCTTGGCTAACGACATGCGTGGTGTTTGTGTGTCTAAATTTATTTCCGTACTAAGAAAAAGCCCATTGCCATCTTTTCTTAACTCACCCGTGATTTCTTCGAATTAGAAAGATGCAAAAGCAATGAACTTGGAAAGATTTTGATTTTGACTTACAATAATTGATCACGCTAACATGTACACTTCCTTGGTAATTTTGGATCTTCTCCAAAATCCAGAAAACAAACTTGTCTCAAAGAAAAATTCTGATGTACGACATATCATCTAAGTAATCATGCATTGTTAATTGTCAAAAGGACTCTCGTTATTTATAGAAATCCTCTTCTTAAGTCAGCCAATCAGCATCAACCACAATCGGCGACAAAAATAGTTGAGACACTTCGCCCTAGAGGGGCTTTCTGAGACTTTACTGACCTCCAGAGGGAAAAAAAAGCTTTTCCTGCCCCATCCCCTCCATGCAATGTTATGCCGCAGTTCGAGCTGCCTATAGAAAACAACAAACACCCCAACTTTGAATGGACTTTGTTCTCTGTGTAGTTACCCTATTTGAGTACAATGTCTCAACAATTTTGTCGCCGATTGCAGTTTTATCCTCTGTGTTATAATCCCTATTAGTTATCACCAAATCAGTGGATAGCGATTTTCGCGCGTTCTGATTGGCTCCCGTAACTCGGACTATCCTTGGATATTCATTGTTTTAGGACGAGATTCAAAATGGCTTCTCGTTTCGCGATAGTTTCGAAAGATGAAATTTTTGCGGTAAATGAAGCTGCTGCACCCACAAATACCAAGAAAGAGACAAAATTTGGCTTGTAGGCATTTACTGGTCGGTGGAAACAAAATTTCTTTCTGAATTTGCATTAAAATCATAAAATTGATCTCCGAAACACTGTCAATTGCAACGCAAACAAACTATAACTAGGTGACGTCTTTTATTTACAAAAAGTTCCTTTTTTATTTTTATCCAACTGATGTGGTTAATACTAAAACAACTACCCCTCTCAGGGTCGGTGGACAGCGCTATATATATCCACCACTATTCACCTCCCCTTCGGGGGATTGTTTTATATTATTAGACTGAAACATTGGATAATGCAATTAATTCTCGAGCTCTGGCTGGCTTAGCCATCATGATACATTATACCATGCTCTCCAAGTATGATAACTGTACGCGTCTGCTCAAAATTAAAAACAAGCTGAAAATCGGCTGTTCTTACAAATTAAGTCGGGAACAATTCTCGCCATTTTGTGGACGTTTTAAATGAAACAGTTATTCCACTCGCGCTTGTTGGATATGAGATGATTATAGCCAACTCGGTGCTACGCTCCTCGTTGGCTACCTGCCATCTCATATCCAACGCGCACTCGAGGAATAATTGTTAATTAGGGAATAATTTCACCTGCGTTTGGCCTAAATTCTAATAAGTTCCCTCGCCTAAAGGCACTGACGCGAATTTGGACAAAACGGGAGTAAAATTATTCCAACTCTCCTTTCACTCATCATACAGTGCTAGTACGTAGGGAGCTTAAGCAACCACGACGGAGATGTCAACGAGAACGGCAAAGAAGAAATAGGTTTGGATGAGCAAAACGACAACTTTGCACGTGCATCACGCTTTTTGCACATTTTTTTGCCGTCACTGCACGACTACGACATGAAAAGACCTAATTTCGCGTTTTGTGGAGGACGTAAAGACAAGACAACCACTTTCTTGTTCTTTTCCTGAGTTTTGATGCAGTCTTTTAGAACTCAACTCCAGAAAAAAAATTATGCCAACATTTGCCGAATTGAACGAGATGGAATAAGCGCGATAAAGTTTAAAGCAGCGCGACCTCTCTTTTTGAGTGACGTTTCTGTAACCGCACCATCGTCGTTGCTTAAGCTCCCTTGTGTCAGAATTACGACCGCAGGTATACTGGATTTTTCTTCAGAGAAATTCTAGTGTTCTATGGCTTTACGAGATATGCGTTATTGGCCAAGCGTGCGGTCAAGATGGCTGGATATTGGCCACGTTCTTTTTCGCGTTGCGTCAGTCAATAAAAACGCTGTAAAGAACGTAACGAGGCCAATATTCAGCTATCTTGACCGAAAAAGCTTGGTCGATAAAGGATTTATTATATGGCCAAAAGAAGAATTTTTCTTGCGGGACCAATGCGGGAAATCCCGGGAGGGCAAGATTGGCCCATCTTGCCCGCTCCAATGGTTATATATGCAGTGCTGGCGAGATCTATCGTAGATCAAAACACATCAAGTAATCAGAGAAAGATCGATAGAAGGTCCAAACGTGCGTGATCGGGTGACCTGCGTCTTATGCTCTCCATTAACTCTAAGTGGAAGTCCAAACGAATGCTGGCTGCATACGTGCCACGTATGCGTAATAGCACCCTGGAGATTAGGAGTTTGGCATCTATTTTCGCCCACAATGATCGTTCCACTTGTAATTTCAAGAGTAACTGGTACTCTGAACTTCTTTTTTTGTGCCGCTGCTAAGTACTTTTAAAAACGAAGTACGTGAGCAAACGTAACTCCAAAAATTACGTGAGTTGATTATAACGAAAAAATATATACTAAAGAAATTTAGTGGCCAACAATAGCGCTTTTGTTATGCATGATCTGATTTTTCCGCGCAAGATGATTGACAGCTTGTACTTCAAGTAATAATCTTGTGAACAAGTGTGAAGCCATTGATTGTTTTCTACACAGCGATCAGGTTTTCAAGTGCTTTTGAATCAAGTGTTTAATTTCTTGAAGCTAACTTAACTTCTAGGGTGAAGTCAACAACTGTTGGCCTTCCAATTCAAGTGCACCCTTAAGAAAAAATGAAAACACTCGTATATTTAAGGTAAAAGTTGAATTAAAGCCATTGGAAAAACCGTGTACAATCAAACCAAAACAAAGCAAAAGCGTCATAAAATCTTAGAGAGGTTGTATTGGGTAGTTTGGAACTTCAAGTCTGCTTTGAACTTTTTTTTGTTTTGTTTTGTTTTGTATTTGTCTTGTTTTTTTTTGTTTTTTTTTTTCTTTAATCAGTCCTTTTGATAAATAGTCGTTGACGTCGACACCTACACACTTACATGAAACTGATACAAACTATTTAAATCCTTAGGATAACATTTTATTTAAATCACCATATTATTACACTGAAGGAAGTAGTATATCAACAACATTCAGAAGGCTAACAATATCGCGAATATTTATACTCTACACTTAGTAACAGCAATACTATATAAGATTGAGATCTTACCCACTGTTCAGCATTTCGCGCCACTGATGAAAAGGAACGGTTGTCTTAATAACGTTTGCGTGGAATGCTTTTATAGAGGTCATTGAGAAGATAGGATCTGGAAGCATAACTCAATTATTCAGGTAGGCAATTTAAATGATTATAAATTAATGGAATTATGAAATTACTATAAATTAAGGTCACGCTTTCGGATACAAAGTTAGTGCTGAATTAGTGCACGTAGAGCTAACAGTATTTTCCTGCTGTAAAGAATAATCAAAAAGGCTGTAAAAAGAGCCTAAACAACAACTAAAATGAAAAGTAAGGTCATTTATTTTGCTGAATTAGGAAGCAGGGAATAACTTGGGTTCACCGAGTATTTCGTGATAGTACAGAAGTAAAATTGTCCTGCAGTTCAAACTTGAAAATGGTATACTCCGCGATCATTTTGTGAATTTACATGAAACACCTTATAGCCTGAGAAAATCTCGTACTAATTCCCGAACACAAAATAAAATTGAAAATGTTATAATCAGTGTAACATTGAAATTATTTAGAAATATTTCGAGTTTCGATATATACAAAGTGTTCTGACATCCTGCATGGATACATACGCCGATTTCCTAATTTTCACGCTAGTTAACTATACCTAGGTAAAGTCATTCATTTCCCTAAAATAAGCAGCCGGTAATAACTTGGTTTTACTGAGTCTCTCGAGGTAGGTACAGTCGTATTGTTCATATTTCGTTTTAGCCCTGATTTGCACATGTGAACAACAAACTTGAGGATTGTGGTGGTTTTAGTTACTTGTAGACTTACATAAATGATGTCAATTTCCTTATCTCTCGTCATCATGAAGTGACCTATTGGTTTTTTTTCCATACAGCGGTTTCAGAAAACTTCCTCATTGCGTTGACCAGGATTTGAAACTTTTTTTGTATTCTAATAACTAGTTTTCGTGTCAGTCTATCCTCTAGATCATCTCCTCTTGATGAAAATTGTAGTGAAACTCTCAGAAATGCTTATTAAGTCTAAAGAACTCACTAGATTGAAATTTCTTGTGTATCATTTTTCTCCGATGTCCTTTGTATTACAGTGTTTACGAGATAGGATGTTATATAAGTAAAAAATTGGGTTAAAGCTTTTTCGAGAAAAAAAATAAGGGCTATTCCCACTTTCTTGTGCAAAACACGCACTAGAAGAAAGTAGCAAAATGTTTTTAAAACAATGGTTTTGCAGACCTTGAACTTAAAAAAAAATTATTCCTTTGCTTTTTGAGGTAAATCTGAATTTTAAGTATGATCCATGGTGGCGGCCCCTAACGAGCTCCTGACTGGGTTGAGCGTACCTTCCAATCAATGAAAACACGATACGAATTGTGCTATGAGGGCCAAGGCCAATTATATGACTTACTAGTCTCCCGCAAATGTGACGACAAACAACGTGTTTAAAGATGGTGGCGAATGGAAACGATTTCTCAGAATTCTTTTGTGTGCTCCGCGGATCTTTCATACCAAGTTTAGTTGATGATTTTTAAGAAACTGGACGTATTAACACAGATACTGAAGAAACTTTACGTATTTTCATCGATAAGTGAAAACGATGGATAGAGAGATAAGATACGTAATTTATTCAATGTCGAATACAGGAAAACATTGCGCAATCATCCGAATCATGTTAAAAACGCGGAACAATCTAATATAATACAAAACAAAATATAATGTGTATTATAAATATATATATATGTATATAAAACCCTAAACTATTAAGGTACAGCTTTATTTCAAAAAGGCAAAAATATTCTTAATATAGATTATCTTCAAGAGTTAAAATATAGGCTGTTCCTGTTGAAGACAAAAATGTTTTGAAGTATGCGTCACGGAATTTCCTTTCTAAGAGGAAAAAAGCTAATTCCTTTTTCTTGATTTAAGAGCTAATTCCTTTTTCTTGTTTTCTCTTTTGTAAGTTAAAGCAAGATTCTTGGATAATAAACTTAATGATATGTTGAGAGAAAATTACTTCTGCGTGCTAACCTGAATGGACAGGACACCCAGTGTAACAGACCCAGTGGAATCTATATTATCATAGGGTTCTCGGAGAAAACGTGACTGGCTTGGTTTATTCCCCACTGGGTTTCTGTTCTTAGTTGTATACTTCCCATGAAAGCGGAAAGGGTGGCAGTCCTTACATCTTTACTGGCATGACAACTTTGAACACCTATAACATATTGCTCTAGCGAGAGGAAATTAAACGATTTGCACTTTTTTATGCGAAATTGATTACCTGTGCACCCCGTATTTTGTTTTTGTCAATGGTAATAAGTAAAAACGTTTTATATTTTTAGTGCTTCTTTTAAACAAATAGTGAAGGACGAAATACACTGGATTTGTGGAGGTAATAATAGAAAGTGACCAGGGACGCAAAAAAATAGGCAGGTAGAAACAAATTATTCTCCGGGTATCGGGGAGGCTAAATTTTCATCGGGTAGACTTGAATAAACCACTAGGTAGGGCTCACTGGGTTTTTAAAAGAGGGGTGTGACAGGAATTCAAAACAAATATAAACCCTTGCGCTGTTATAATGTGATAAAATTTGGCCAAACTTGAAGTAAATTGTTAGAAAATTCATCTTAAAGAAAAGAAGATTTGAAAGAAAATTTGCACATCCGCGCAATTCTAGACATATTGTATAACGTATGTTCGCTTTTGTTTGTTAATCAATCACTTCATTGATTAACGCTGAACGGTATAAACAGTCTTTCGGTTGTTTTAGACAAAGTTGAAATAAATTACCGGCTAGGTCGGCTCTTAGTTCAGGTTCACTGAGTGGCACACAAGTACAGGTTTTACTTTTAGCTGTTGGTCAATCGATGACCAATCATTATCAATGAGTTATTATTCTACATCAACCTTTTAGAATCATCACAACGCTTGGATTTTGAACTCGAGAACGAGACAAATCTAAACTTCTCCTGTGAACATATTTCTTGACTTAAGTCCTTAATCCTGGGCAAGATGTAAGACGGCCATCATCATCATCATCATTCTCATCAAATTATAATAAAACATTTATAGTAACATCCCCAACGGGCTTTTCAGAAACTATTTACAATGGGAATCAACTGAATAAAAAGAGTAAGAGAGTAAAACATCCTCCAAGTTTTAAAGAAATAACCTACTTAATATATTATGATATAATTACGAAAGTTAATAGGTTACTACAATTAAATAAATTGCAAATTACACTGAGTATGAAGATATTCTTTCATGGATGCCTTGAACTTTTTAAGAGAACTGCTATGCTTTATATTGTTATCTGGGCTGTTCCAAATGCTTGGTTGCTCTAATGCTGAAAGTACGTTGGCCTGAAGCAGTTTTAAAAAGGGGTATTTGAAGCGAATCGCGCTTGCAAGTAAAGCGTTACTTTGCAAAATTCGCTGCAGAGGTGTAGTTTGGAGCAGGGCCATTTAAACATTATAAGCCATTACAGAGTCTCTGAACAGTAGTAATTGTTTAAAAGGAAGCCAGTTAAGCTGGTGAAGTGAAGGTGTTACTTGGATTTGACTAAGATTTTCCATTTCAATCATCAGGTGAAAGTAGTATCTAAGTCAATAAAAATTGCAAGTACGTTAAGTCTCAACAGGTTGTTATAATTAATCGTTAATCTGTACTTGGCACTATGAATATATTCGCTCAAAAATTGTATAAGGAAGTGTTTTTTTTTTTTTCAAGACTGGCTTGGGCTATTAATGTTGCTTTTGAAGTAATACCTGGTAACTAAAAATCCCGGTTAGCTCAGTTGGAAGAGCGCCGGTCTGCCGAGCGGGAGGTCGTGCCTTTCAAACCCCGGCCGGACCATCGACCAAGGTCTTTAAAAAACTGGTGAGATCACGCTTGCTGTGAAACCCCCTTCTCAGTTCTGATGACGCGTCATTGGGCGGTTACGTGGAGCCATTGGCCTTGTCTCCTTCATCTTTGTATTTCAGTTGGAAGGGGACGTAAAAGAACCCGTGACATTGTTCGAAAGGAGTAGGGGACGTAGGCCCCGATCTCATGGTCTATCTGACTTGTGCCGTCATCGGTCTGGGTGGGCAAGGTGAGATTAAAATATGGACTGAAGTGACTGGAAGAGTTCACCTTTACAAGACGACGTCCGATCTCACCTCTCTGGTTCCTCCGCAATTCAGCCATTGGCTGCAAGTAAGGAAAGATGGCACAGCTCGTCAGTTACTCTAAGGTTACTAAAAGTAACAACCTTAGGACTGAGACTTCTAAATCTGTTGCTATAATACATTATTTTATTACTATAGCACATTCTATGACTTAAGAATGGCGTCATAATGACACCAAGAAATCAGTTTTTATCACCATTATCAGTTTTTGCTTTTTTTGGTCATACACTAACTTAATATAAAAATCATTTATCCTCTTTAGATAAATATGACGAGCTGCTTACTGGTATGTCAGTTAGTGTTGTTGTTGAGCCTGGGAATGGCGTCCTCTGACGTACCTGAACATACAGGCTCAATCGAAGGCATGGAAACAGCTGAAACTGAAGTTGGAATGCAGGATGAGATCTCTGCTCTAGGTGATATAAGCGATGGCCACCTGACTGAAGACGAAGATGACGAGTTCGATGAAAACGACGGTGAAAAGTTGGCCGAGGACCCACTGGCAGCAACATATATTGCACCCTCTAGGAAACGCAGAATACAATTGGAGGCTAGGCGTATTTTCTATACTTTTTGCAAGTGGATATATTTTAGATCATTTAGCCGAAAGAGGGAACGACAAACAGCTTTGAGGAAGTATTACCAGGCATTTGTGCATGGAGGAAAGAGCTTTATCAGTGACGCTGACTTGCTAATAGCAAAAAAGAGTGAAAAATGCAGCGCGTGCCTCTTAAATGAACTCTGCAAACGAAGGCATATTCATTGGTTATTGAACATCAACGGCAGACTCCCTGTGTAAGTAATCCATGGTATTATACATTGTACTCACTGTCTATCTTCTCATTGGCAAAGAGCCTGCAGTTAATTTTGGCACAACCTACACTGTGATTATAGTTAGTTTCTGCTAGCAGATAACTGAGGAATCTGTAAGTTGCGTGCACAATGCATGATTTCCAAGAGCAAAGTTAAATTGTGTTCCATGCGACGATGCGTTTTCGTTATTTATTTCAAAACAATGTAGCTATAATAAAACAAGAAATAGATTCTGTTTTTGTGATACCCGAAATAATCAAGGTCTCTGTAAGTGTTGTAACAGCCTCGGCCATCACCTCGGCTGAAGTGGCTAGTGCATATGTCGGTGCAAGTTTTTGTTTGGGACAGTTATTATAAATTACTCTTACTTTTGCCTACTTTCGAACACGAACCAGACAGATAGATTACTTCATCGGCAGGGCGCGCTTACGGGATTTTCGCACGAGTTGGTGATGTATCAGAAATCGAATGAGCTAGCGCAGCGAATACTTCACGTTTTTCAAGTGACGATTGAAGCTCGCTATAAACCCTCTGAGGCTTGACGGTTCATAATCGCCCCCATCTTTTCTTTTCACAGTAACTTATATAACCCACTCAGAATTAAGGTCTTGTGGTTTTATCTCTTCTATTTTTTTGTTTTCTAGCTTGGATTTCAGAAACTCGGAGAACAAGCCAGCATCTCGTCTAGGTTTCGACAACGTTTTTTTTTGTTGTTTTTCTGTTCCTCGATAAGCTGGTTAACGGATTTCTGCAAAGCTGGAAAGCGAAGGCTTTCTCCTTCAGCCATTAATTAGCTTCTTCTGGCAATTTTCATGAGATATTATCCAAACCAAAAATCTAAACGTTTTAACTTTTTAACAAAGCTGCCAGAATAAAATCTTTAATCAAAACACAAAGCTACCGAAAACACGGTTGCTTTTGGTGGGTGCGCTGTGATTGGTCGAAACGTTCTACTCACACAGTGAAAAAGCCGTTTCGCTTTTCTGATGGGTTGAATAAAGGCGCGAACCATGTTTTCACCCAGGTTTGACTCAAACAGAATCACTCGGTATGTATGAAATAAAATTAAATTCCAGAGGCCTGGCTTATTAACCATGAATAACCCCAACACAAGATGCTAGAAATCTTTGCAGGCTATTCGAGCCACGTCACAATGTGTCTTTTTTTTTTTGAAATAACTTAAAAACTATAGATGGATTACATCTATTTTTAAACTCACGATCTTTGCCCCTATCTAATTTGTCTGCTTATCAGGAATGCAAGAAGGAGGATCTGCAGAAGAAAAATCGTCCGAGCAGCGATTAATCTTTATTACCCCTTTAGTGCAATCAAGATAAAGTGCGATCCAAATGCAGAATTTCGAACCATCGATGGGACGTGCAACAATTTACGTAATCCTTTCTTCGGGGCAGCCAATACAACATTCAACCGACTTTTACCTGCTGATTATGGAGATGGCATCTCAGCTCTTCGCCGAGCGGTAAATGGGAAAGAGCTTCCAAACGCCCGTGACGTAAGTCGATTTGTCCATGGAAGTAACGCAGACCGAACAAACCCGAACTCTACCATACTGACTCATCTGGCTATGAACTTTGCACAGTTTATGGATCACGATATTACGTTGGGGGAGGCACAAGGAATTAACTGCGAGCCTCCCACCAAAAATCCAGAGTGTGTCAACATAAGAATTCCCAAAGGCGATGCAATATTTCGGGACCGGGAAGTTGATTTTATAGAATTGGAGAGAGATGCTCCTAGCAAGCCAGCCTCCTTCTGCAAACTGGCCCCTCGAGAGCATACAAACACTCTGACAGCCTACATTGACGCTTCTAACGTTTATGGATCAAGTGAGGAGGTTGCTGACTCGCTTCGCGCCCCAAATGGCTTACTGAAAGTTATGGAGAATCCAGATGGTGCAAAGCTTATGGATTTACTACCTGCCCGCAATGAAACCACGGAGACTTTTTGTCCATCACTAGATCCAAACAGACCGTGTTTTGTGGCAGGAGACAGTAGGAGTAATGAGAACCAAGGTGAGAACAATTGCTTTAATGTTTAATGACCCTAGTAGTAAATGGACTATT